CCAACAGAAAATACTGTGTTTCTGATGGTCTTTGGCGACCCCTCTGACACCCCTTCGCGACCCCCTCAGGGGTCCCGACCCCCAGGTTGAGAAACACTGGGTTAAACCGTTGTGCTGCTGAACTGAAGGTACGCAGTTTGAATCCTCAGGACGGGGTGAACTCCCGCTGTTAGCCCTAGCTCCTGCCAACCTAGTAGTTCAAAAACATGCAAATTGAGCAGATAAATAGGTATTGCTTCAGCCAAAAGATGCTCCAAGCAGTCTTGGGGGTGACAACGCAGGCTCCTCAGTTTGAAAATGGAGAAGACCTCCCTAAGAGCCTGAGGTGAGCACCGTCTCCAGAAGCCAGAAATGAAAGGAGAAGCCTTTGCCTCGTCTGTGTTTGTGTGTCTCATTGTATGTGATTGTAAGGCATTGAATGTTTGACTACGTCTACTGTAAATGTTGTGATCCGCTCTGAGTCCCCTAGGGGAGAAGGATAGGATATCAATAAAGTGTATTATTATTATTATTATTATTATTACTACTACTACTACTACTACTACTACTACTAGCTGTACCCGCCACAAGTTGCTGTGACCAACCTTCCCTCCCTCTTTCTCTTCTTCTTTCTTTCTCTCCTTCCTTCCCTCCCTCTTTTTTCTTTCTCTTCTTCTTCCTTCCTTCTCTACCTGTTTCTTTTCTCACTTCCTTTGCTCTTTGGTTCCATCCTACCTTGTCTCTTTCCTTCCTTCCTTCCCTCCCTCCTTCTTTCTCTCTTTCGTTCCTTCTCTCCTGCCTTCCCTCTTTCACTTTTTTATTTCCTTCTCTCCTTCCTTCCTTCTCTACCCTTCTTTCTTTCCTTCTTTCTCTCCTTCCCTCCTTCTTTTCCTTCTTTCCCTCTTTCTCTCCCTCCTTCTCTCCTTTCTTTCTTCTCTACCCTTTCTTTCCTTCTTTCTCTCCTTCCCTCCTTCTTTTCCTTCTTCTTTCCCTCTTTCTCTCCCTCCTTCTCTCCTTCCTTCCTTCCCTACCCTTCTTTCTTTCCTGCCTTCTCTCCTTCCCTCCTTCTTTCCCTCCTTCCTCCTTCTCTCCTTCCTTCCTTCTCTACCCTTCTTTCTTTCCTTCTTTCTCTCCTTCCCTCCTTCTTTCCCTCCTTCCTCCTTCTCTCCTTCCTTCCTTCTCTACCCTTCTTTCCTTCCTTCTTTCTCTCCTTCCCTCCTTCTTTCCCTCTGTCTCTCCCTCCTTCTCCCCTTCCTTCCTTCTCTACTCTTCCTTCTTTCCCTCTTTCCTTCCTTCCCCTTTTCTGTGTATGTGTTTTGTGTGTGTGTGTGTATGCATATATGTGTGTATATATGTGTGTGTTTGTGTATATATATGTGGCTTTGCACATGCGTTGAAATGTTATTTTTGTTTGTTTGGGGATAATTTTTTTTATTTTTAAATCCCTTCCACTTTGTTTTTCATTGTTTTTATGAGTGATGGTTACTCGTTGGCCTGAGAGGTGTCTTGTATCCAAATTTAGTGTCAATTCATCCAGTGGTTTTTGAGTTATGTCAATCCCACAAACGAACATTACATTTTTATTTATATAGATTACTATTAATGTATTTACGAGAGAGTAAGCCCACACTGGATACGGCAGGTCTTACTCCCAATAAACATGCAAAGCACTCTGGATCCAAACAAATATTGACTTAATTGAGTTTAGTGGGAAAAGGAAGAGCAGGCATGGGCCAACTTGGGCCCTCCAGGTGTTTTGGACTACAACTCCCACAATTCCTAACAGCCTACCGGCTGTTAGGAATTGTGGCAGTTGTAGTCCAAAACACCTGGAGGGCCCAAGTTGGCCCATGCCTACCGGCTGTTAGGAATTGTGGGAGTTGTAGTCCAAAACACCTGGAGGGCCCAAGTTGGCCCATGCCTACCGGCTGTTAGGAATTGTGGGAGTTGTAGTCCAAAACACCTGGAGGGCCCAAGTTGGCCCATGCCTACCGGCTGTTAGGAATTGTGGGAGTTGTAGTCCAAAACACCTGGAGGGCCCAAGTTGGCCCATGCCTACCAGCTGTTAGGAATTGTGGGAGTTGTAGTCCAAAACACCTGGAGGGCCCAAGTTGGCCCATGCCTGTCTTACAACCTTCTGTTGAGGCTTCAGAAGGATGACATGCAACGCCCCGCCTGAAATGGTACTGATCTTTTGTGAATTGTTTTCCTTGCTTTTCTTTAGAGGGAGGGCCAGCTGGAAGGCAAAGAGAGTGGCTTCCAAATCAGGGAGGGAAGGGGAAAAAAAGCACTTATTTGCCTCAAATTGGAGGCAAAAGAGAAAGAAAAAGAGAGAGAGAGCTGCGCTGCTTCGCGTTGCCATGGGAACGGGATGCAGATTTCTTCCCCCCAATTGCTTTTTTTTATTATTATTTGCTAGACATTGTAATACATATTATGTTTCAACTCTGGGGTTCTTTTCTTTCTCTCCTGCCTTGGAGTAAAAGGATCCTTTATGAATGTTAACCATTCAGGCCACTGGGAGAGGAAGAGGAGGAGGAGGAGGAGGAGGAGGAGGAGGAGGAAGGGGGGTCCCATCCGCGCTCCAACAGGTAGTTTGTATGCAGGCAGAGTCGCCCCTTGTCCAGGCCTGGTCCCCTTTCTATGGAGGAGGGGCCCCCGCCTGCCTTCGTTTTCTGCTCTGCTTCACTCCACGCACACACATACACAGAGAAGGGGGGGACCCCCAGCGCCACACAAAGGCAGCTGCCAAAGGCCCCTGAAAAGTGATCAAATTATCAAGAACTTGACCTCACAGGGGGAGCGAGCCAGCAAGA